GGTTAACATCATTATCCACTAGGGAAATGCAAATTAAAACTATGATGACTGGGTCATAGGGTAGGTCTATTTTTAATTTTTTGAGGAACCTCCACACTGTTTTCCAGAGTGGCTGCACCAATTTGCATTCCCACCAACAGTGCAAGAGGGTTCCCATTTCTCCACATCCTCTCCAGCATCTATAGTCTCCTGATTTGTTCATTTTGGCCACTCTGACTGGTGTGAGGTGATATCTGAGTGTGGTTTTGATTTGTATTTCCCTGATGAGGAGCGACGTTGAGCATCTTTTCATGTGCCTGTTGGCCATCTGGATGTCTTCTTTAGAGAAGTGTCTATTCATGTTTTCTGCCCATTTCTTCACTAGGTTATTTGTTTTTTAGGTGTAGAGTTTGGTGAGCTCTTTATAGATTTTGGATACTAGCCCTTTGTCCGATATGTCATTTGCAAATATCTTTTCCCATTCCGTTGGTTGCCTTTTAGTTTTGTTGGTTGTTTCCTCTTCCCAGTAGTTGCTAGGAATTTACCCAAGGGATACAAGAGTACTGATACATAGGGGCACTTGTACCCCAATGTTTATAGCAGCACTCTCAACAATAGCCAAATTATGGAAAGAGCCTAAATGTCCATCAACTGATGAATGAATAAAGAAATTGTGGTTTATATACACAATGGAGTACTACGTGGCAGTGAGAAAGAATGAAATATGGCCCTTTGTAGCAACGTGGATGGAACTGGAGAGTGTTATGCTAAGGGAAATAAGCCATACAGAGAAAGACAGATACCATATGGTTTCACTCTTATGTGGATCCCGAGAAACTTAACAGAAACCCATGGGGGAGGGGAAGGAAAAAAAAAAAAAGAGGTTAGAGTGGAAGAGAGCCAAAGCATAAGAGACTCTTAAAAACTGAGAACAAACTGAGGGTTAATGGGGGGTGGGAGGGAGGGGAGGGTGGGTGATGGGTACTGAGGAGGGCACCTTTTGGGATGAGCACTGGGTGTTGTATGGAAACCAATTTGACAATAAACTTCATATATTAATAAAACAAAACAAAAAAAAAACACAACTATGATGACATACCACAACACACTTACCAGAATAGCTAAAATAGAAAATATTGCCAGTAAGAAATGCTGGCAAAGATACAGAGCAACAGGAACTCTTTCATAATACTGGTGGGAATGCAAAATGATAGAGCTACTCTGCAAATCGTTTTCGAAGATTTTTGTGAAATTAAATGTGCATCTACCATATGACCAGGAATCCCACTCCTATCTAACTCCAGAAAAATTAAAACTCATGTCACATAAAAACCTAAATGTGAATGTTTTAACATTCGTATGTATGTATGTGCATATATCTATATCTATATCTATAATTGGTAAGAAGTGGGTGGGTAGGGGCATGAATATATAGGTATAGTGGGAAGAAGCTTTTTTGGTGATGAAACTTTTGTGTCTAGATTATAAGGGTGGATTCACTGAGAATTTAAAGAGCTAAAAACAAACAAATGAATGTAGTGTTCAGGTGTTTCTAATTTAACTACCAAACACTGGGATTTCATGACAGACCAAAAATAGTATTGTTCCTTTTCCGCTGATAAATAATACACATTTTTCATTTTACAATTTCATTTAAATTGAGGTGAAATTACATACAGAATAGTGTCACCAGATTTAGCAAAAAAATAATAATAATAATAAATTAAATAAATAAATAAATAAATAAATAAATAAATAAAGGATCCCAGTAACATTTCACTTCAAATAATCATTTGTAGTATAAATGTGTCCCAAATACAGAATGGGACATACTTGTTCTGAATATATATATATACACCTCTGTGTATGTACACACACACACACACACCCATACACACGTTTATCTGAAATTCAATTTAACTGGATTATTTTATTTGATCTGGCAATCCTAATACAGAAAAATGCACAGATCCTAAATGTATATATTTGAATGAATTTTGGTAAATGTTTATACCCATACAACCAACACCCAATCAAGATACAGAATATTTCCATTACCTCAGGTTCCCTATTATCCCCAGCCAGTCAATCTTCATTCTCTCCATGGGCAAATACTATTTTCTTGTGACTACTTTTCCCTGTTGCTAACATGTTTTTAAAATTAATTCATGTTGTAGGAGTCAATAGTTCATTCTTTTTTATTGCTAATTAATATTCCATTGTAAAATACAGCCAATTTTAAAATCTATTCTCCTATTGGACACATGGCTTGGTTCCAGTTTGGGGCTATAAGCAAATAAATATATAAAGTTAAAAGCATTCTTATGCAATTGTTTTGTCAATGTTTTCATTTCTTTTGGGTAAATACCTAGAACTGATTTTACTAGTTCATGGCTTTAATTTATAAGAAACTGAAAACTACTTTCCAGAGTAGTTATGCCCATTTATATTCTTCCCAACAGCAGGCAAATTGCAGTTACTCCATATCCTTGCAACTTTTACTGTTGTTAGCCTTCAAAATCTTTGACATTCCATTGGCTTTGTTAATTTTATTGTTTGACCATTTTCTATTTCACTGATTTCTGCCGTGATGTTCAGTATTTCCTTTCTTCTACTTAGTTTTTATACACTTTTTTTTCTAGCTAAGATGGAAACATATCGATTTTAAAACTTGTCTTCTAATATAGATTTCCAAAGCTATAATTTCTAAGAACTGCTTTACCTGCATCCCACAAATTTTCATATTTAATATTGTTTTTATTCAGTTACAATAAATGTTATTTCCAAATATTTGGGACTTTTCTAGACATCTTTTTGTTAGTGATAGTGATTTAACAAAATTGTTTCTTAATGTTTTTTTTTTTTTTAATTTTTTTTCAATGTTTATTTATTTTTGGGACAGAGAGAGACAGATCATGAACGGGGGAGGGGCAGAGAGAGAGGGAGACACAGAATCGGAAACAGGCTCCAGGCTCCGAGCCATCAGCCCAGAGCCCGACGCGGGGCTCGAACTCACGGACCGTGAGATCGTGACCTGGCTGAAGTCGGACGCTTAACTGACTGCGCCACCCAGGCGCCCCTCTTAATGTTTGTTTTTGAGAAACATAGAGTGTGAATGGGGGAGGGGCAGAGAGAGAGGGAGACACAGAATCCGAGGCAGGCTCCAGGCTCTGAGCTGTCAGCACAGAGCCTCACGTGGGGCTCGAACTCACAGACTGTGAGATCGTGACCTGAGCCGAAGTTGGACACTCAACGGACTGAGCCACCCAGGCGCCCCTGGTGACTTTTAATTTAATAGCCAAGCATATGGTCTACTTTGCTGAATGTTTCATACATGCTTGAAAATAAGGTCTATTCTACCACTATTGGGTGTAGTGATCTTTCAGTATCAGTTGGGTGCAAATGGTTTTTGTTCAAACTGTCAGTATTTTTGCTAATGTTTTGCCTATTAGTTGCCAAGAGGTTGTTAAAATCCTCAACTCTGATTGTAGATATGGCTGTATCTCCCTTTTGTTAGTTTCTGCCTCCTGTACCTTAAAACTGGTATTCAAGGAATATACCTTTAGGATTTTGTCTTCTTGATGAACTATCCTTTCTTTATGAAAAGTCCTTTTTTATCTCCATTATACTCCTTTTGAAGTCCATTTTATCTTCTATTAATCGAGCCACTTGTTTTCTTTTGTTTTCTGTTTGTATAGTCTGTTTTTCCCCCATTCTTTTACTTTCATCTTGTGTCTTTACACTTAAAGTTTAACTCTCTTATAGACAACATATAGTTGGACCTTTAAAAAAATCTAGTTCTTTTAATTGGAGTGTTTGGTTTACATTTAAGTAATTACTGATTTGGTTAAATTTAGGTCTATCATTTTGCCATTTTTCTATTTGTCCTATATATTTTGTACCTATATTTCCTCCTTTCTTGCCTTTTTTTTTTTTTTTTTTTTTTTTTTTTTTTTTTTTTTTTTTTTTTTTTTTTTTGCTTCTTTCTTCTTTATTGCAGTTGCCAAAAGATTTCAATACATAACCTACATAGACCTGATCAGTCTACCATTAGTATTCCACTGCTTTAAATAAAATGTAAGAACTCTGCCACTCTGGACTGATAAGATTTGGTTTGGTTTTACTTTTTAATTTCAGTACTTTACAGATGTCCTTCTTTTGTCTCATGACCTCCACGGTTTCTGAGGTGAAGCAGTCCAACATTTATTGCTTCCCTGTGTGTAGTGGGTTCCCGACTCCCACTCTTGGTTGCTTTTAAGATTTTTCTCTTATCTTTGGTTCTCATCAGTTTTAGCTATGATGTGTTAGGTCTTGTTTTCTTTACATTTATTTTGTTTGGAGTTCACTGAGCTTACTGGATCTATGTATTGATAGTTTCACCAAACTTGGGAAAATTTTGATCTTAACCTACTCATAATTTTTCTGCCCTATTTTCTCTCTCTTCTCCTTCTGGGAATTCAATTACATATGCATTGGACTGCTGAATACTGCCCCCCATGACTTTGAAGCACTGTGCTGTTTTCTTCTTTCCAGTTATTTTTTTAGCCTTTATTCATCAGGACAATTTCTATCCACCTGTCATCTGCACTCTGCTGTTAGGTCCAACCATTTGGGTTTTTGCTTCCATTTCTCTGACAGCACTCATCTATATACATTCATTACAACTATTGTTCCTAGTCACTGTTGATATGCTAAAGAGACTCAATTTGTTATCATGCCCTAGAAGTGTTAAGATTTGTTCCAGCAGGCAGTTAAATTATGGACTAATCACCTTGATTTCATGGAGGATTGATTTTACATTATGTTAAAGGTTTTGTCTTTAGTTTTAGGCAAATCCTTAGTCCTGGGCATGGTCTCTTCTAATACACAGCCATTCTAGAGATTTGACAGAAAGCCTAAAGTGCTTACCAAGCCTTCTAACTTGACAGGATTAAAACTCAAAACTGTTTTCCCTTGCAATACAAAGCAACAAACTTTGCTCAGATTTTTCAGCCTTCCAGCTATGGCTTTCCACCAGGTTCATGGAGTCTTCCCCTGTACAAAGCATAATTCAGCAGTTAGCCAAAGAATTAAGAGGAGATTCGTATACAGACTGTAAGGCTGGCTCCTCCTTCAGTGCCATCTCCATTTCTAGAATTTCCTCCTCACTTTACAGCTCCTCTAGCAGCCCCCAATTTCTCTGACACCTCAAGCCAATAAGACTCTTGAATTCTAGCCTTCTCTTGAATTCTAGCCATCCCTTAGCAGACAGACTGGGGAATGGCCTGAGGGAAAAAGCTATATATAAGTATAGTTCTCAGCTTGCTTTTGGTCATTCCCCAGTGTCTTCAGACAGTTATGTTTTTCCCAGAGTTTATAATTGGGAGGGCTTGTACATTACAAGCTATTCCACCATTACCAAAGCCAGAAGTCCTTCCTTATATAATTCTTCAATGCTTGCTTTAATGCCTCAGAAGAAAACAACACAGAACTGGTACTTAAATGTCCTTGGCTCTCTCCCTTTTTATGTAACAGATTAAAAACAGAATATTTCATATATATTTAAAATACCTTTTATCTCAAACGAAATAAGTCAGAATAATCTCTTGTTAATTAATGCTCCCAGGAAGTAGGGAAGTATATGTTCAACTTCCAATGAATTTAACAAAATTTAAGCTATGGTTGATTAAGCCATGGAAATATTCAGAGTTAGACCAACCAAACTAGCATGTAGCAAAGCTATTTCTGTTATGAACAAAAAGTACAAGACTCTACAGTAGTCATGAAATATTATAAATGCAGAGTTGTTTATAACTAGGAAAAAGAATGTGACTACTTACATACATACGGTGGCATATTACTGAGTTAAGTGATATGACAAATCTTGCCTAACCCAATGTCTTCAAACTTAAATTTTTTAAAGCCATATTTTATAGTCATTAAGTTTTCCATTTGTCCACTTGGATGTGAAAGATGCTATTTAAAACCAAACAGCAACTGTCCATGGCTGGCTGAACATTTATAATTCAACAATTATATAACCTCCAAAATACAGCAGAATATGAACCACATAATTAGAGTGTCAGCTAAACAAGACAAGGCAATTCAGAAAGATGTCATTTTGTGGCATGTACTCAGCTGAGCTTTAAGTAAGAGGACAGTTGGGTGGTACTTACTCTTCCCACCTCTGCTTAAAGCACTAATACCAACTACTGTCAGGACAATTCATCTTGTGGTCAGCACAGCTGACTTTTAAAAAAGAAGGAAGTTCCACATTGTATAAACTCATTTCATAAGTAAAAACTGCTTTTAAATAACAATATGAATATCTATCCGCAAGTTTTCAGGCTTGGTCTGCTCCATGTGTGTACATCCTCAAAAATCACCAAAATAGCAGCAACAGATGATGATGTCATAAGGAAAAAACTCACTGCCACAGGAAACTAAGTATTATTGAGTCAAGATCTTTCTTCTTGGTCACTTGTTTTATAATTATTAGGTACACCAAAGAACTGTTCATTATACAAATACGGGTATGTGCATATATGACTGAAACTAACATCTAACAATAGAAAATGTCTATGCTTCCATTCCGTCAATGCTTTAGGATTCTGCGCTATTTTCTGGTATGGAAAACAGACTTAGCATCTCCATCTCCAATGGATGCATGTTGTCTCCTGTGATAATTAAAGAGTGTAACGGTCCTCCCAAGTCCACAGTACACATTTGCTGCAAAGTGCCTGCTGCAATTTTCTGGTCCTCAGCTCCAACCCTGGCTAAGCCAACACAGAGTGTCTTCTCGGTGACTGCTATTAAGAAGAAGAAGAAAAAGATACTGCCATTCAAATCAGCAATTGCATTATCCTGTCCAACATTAAAATGAACATTAGTACCAAAAGTACATTTAAAGAAGCCCTGAATATCTTAAATCTCCTTAGTCACATATTACAGACCAATTATCTATTGATTTACCTGAGGCTTTTCTAAATTATATGCACTACCTGACATATAAAGCAGTTCTTCCTAACTTTACCCTTTTGGAATTCCAAAGGCTTGCCCTAGTTTAAGTTTTCAGGATTTGATAAACAATTGCCTATATCCATACTCTTTACAACTGATTAGCATTTGTCTTTATTTTGTTTTTAATGTTTATTTATTTTGAGAGGAGAGAAAGAACATGTGCACATGAGCAGGGGAGGGACACAGACAGAGGGAGACAAGAATCTCTGGCAGGCTCTGCTCTGTCAGCGCAGAGCCTGATGCAGGGCTCGAACTCATGAACCGTGAGATCATGACCTGAGCTGAAGTCAGATGTTTAACAAACTAAGCACCCAGGTGCCCCAGCATTTGTCTTTATACAGCTTCTGAGTGAACAATGTTTATTATCTGCTCAAATATATA